CCATCAATCACAGGCTGACCCGCTTCAGTCATTGGCTGGAAATCTACCCACTGTTGGGCATGAAACAGCGCTCACCTATGGAAAAACAAACGAAGGCTCCCTGAGCCCATCTTGTGAGAGGTAGCCTAGAATGGTAAAAATACCCATTCCCCCCCCAAAAAAAAACCCAAACCCACTGCCATCAAGTCACATCCGACTCACAGCGACCCCTCCTTGGGTTTCTGAGGTGGTATCACTACGGAAATAGATTGCCCAACCTTCCTTCTAAGGAGTGCTACTGGGTTTGAAGCACCAGCCTTCCGGTTCGCAATCAAGTGCCTTAGGCACTACGCCACCAGAGCACCTTCAAAAATACCCCACCTGGTCTTAAAAGCTTTTTGATTGGCCATCTAAGAAGCAACCATTAGTCTCCTGTAGCCTGGAGCAAAGAAAAGTGAAGAAATCAAAGTCATCTGGAAACAACTAATCCAAAGATAAGATGGACAACCAGGACCTCAGACTTCACCACCTCAAGACCAAGAGAACTAGATGGTGCCTGGCTACCAATGCCAGCGGCTTAGAAAAGGGATCAAAATTGGAGCTCCTGGATAGAGTAAGAGGAAAAATGTGGAACCAAATTCAAAAACACAAAAATGACCCAAATACTGGTCGGATAGAGACTAGTAGAACCTCTGAGACTATGGCCCTAGGTTAGCCTTTGGGCCTAGAAATGGACTCACTTCCACGGATTGGCTCTCAGCCCAACAGTGGATAGACTTACATGCAGAACACCTACTGCAGGGCTCTGCACCCCTTAGATCAATCAACCAGGAGACAGCAGAGGGGGCAGCACTCACACAGAGGGAAAGCCGGGGAGAAGGATGCACAGACGTGAGGGTGCAGGGAGGGCGTAGTCACAGGGACGAGAGGGGAGGAGAGAGCTTTATGGTCGGGGATGGTAATCAGAGCCATGAAATCAAATGTACGTGAACTGTGGAATGTAAAACAAATCTGCTTTGTAAATTTGCACCCAAAGCACAATATAAATAAATCAATACCCCACTACTAATACAAATAGTCTCTAAACGCACTGAGCGCTTCCTATGTCCCTGGCACATGCTCAGCACGTGACGTTCACTGCCTCATTTAACCTTCACTCTCACTATGTGGTTTCTGTTATTATGCCCATTTTCCAGACGAAAAGTTGAGGCTCAGAGGGGTGAAATGATGTGGCCAAGGTTATACATAGCTGCCAGGTTGGCCTGACTATAGAGCCTGGCATCTAACCAGCACACTATGCTGCCCCCCACAGGCCTGAGTTCACATCCTTGTCTGTCCTTTCCTCCTGAGCAACCTTGAGGTAAGCCCCATGGCCACCAGCCATGGAATCCTGACTGTCCAGCAAGCAACGTGGGCAGCCCCCGGGGATAACACCAGTCCAGTCATCTCGTTCTCCCTTGCCAGGGACTGGCAGAGATGTGGGTAGCTCTGGTCAAGTAACATAATGGGATGTCTGTTGCAGGGTTCTGAGAATTCCCCACCCTGAAAAGAGAGAGGCGCAGGAAGTTCATGGCTCCCTCCTCCTCTGTACCCTGCTTTCAACCTGGCTGCAGGGGTCATGGTACGCGAGCAGTGGTTGCCATCCTGCAGCTGTGAAGCCAGAGCCTGAGGCAAAAGCCAACCAACATCAGAGGAAGGACAGACCCACAGGCTGGCAAACTACACCTGGGGCTGCTCGAACCTCCACTTCTTAAGGAAACAATAAATGCCCTTAAGGCTTAAGCTCTTGTAATGTAGGCTTTCTGTTACGTTTAGCCAAAAGTATTTCTAACTGATACACCACCTTTCAGGGTTTTTGTAAGGGCTGAGATGACTGGTTTCCCACTTCCACCCTTGCTCCTGCAGTCAGTCTAACCTCTCTCCAGCAGCCAGGGTGAGCCTGTGGGAACCTAATCTGTATGCCATCCCTCCCCTGCTCAGAGCTCTGCCTTGGCTTTCCATCCCACTCAGTGTAAAATCCTCAAGACTCCGGAGGCCTGTGAGGTCCTACTCATCCTGGGCTCCA